GTTTAGCCTCCATGCTGGCTTGTAGCATTCCCACCCGCCAAGTTTTGTTTTGGGAGGGGGAGGCTTAGAGGGTGCTTCGGCTTCTGCTATTTTCCACGTCACCAGGGCTCCATTTGGACACAAACTCTCCGAGCTCGCGGCCGCGGAGGCGGTCCGGGGAAGTCCCCAGGAGTTAGATCTGGATTGCCTTAGCGCCACGCAGTCGCCATCGGCTCAGCTGCATTTCGTTGCTTTGCTTTTTCTCATTTCTTGGATGCCCTTGAATCCGTCATGGGCTGCATGTGCCGCCAAATTCAATAGATTTGATGCAGGATGGGCTCTGAATGAAAACATGTGACATCGGGCTGTGCTGAGGCGAAATCAAAGTTGGTTTAGGATGGGCTTAATTAAAAAATGAAGCTTTAGGCGAGATGAGGAAAGTTGTAAAGAATTGAAGCCCAGGGACAAAGTGTCATTGGTACCCACTTGTGGGTAAAGCTTGTGCTTGCTTGAAGGATTGTCCGAGATGGGTTTTGGGGTAACGTGAGGGAAGGGTTTGTTTTCGGCGGAGCTCTGTCTGCTGCTTGTTGTGAGTTGAAAGTAGTGAGGTGCAAGTCGCGTTGTGCGGCTTTGTGTGGGATTCGCAGTGTTGCACTCGGTGCGGTGCTTGGACTATCCGAGGAAGCTGCTGGGCGGGGGGCAGTGCTTGATGTTGGTCGGTTCCATTTGCAGTGGAAATTTGCGTTAGTAGTGTGGCGGGCTCCAAATAAATCGGGGTGATGCTTGCCTGAGTTGTTGACCTTGTGTTCTGCTTGTCTGCGTTGTTGGTTAATTGCCAGGCTGGGCCGGCTCTGGAGTGGATGGAGCTGGGATGGGACAAGGGCGCTGTTGACACAAACAAGTATTGCGGAACAGCATTGCATGACTTGGCTTTCACCTCAGCCCTACGCCCCAGTAGCAGTGCCGAGTCTTATCCCCCTCGATGTTCTTGATATAGCCTGTCCACAATCATTGCAAGTACAACACTGCCAAAACATCTCACAGTTTGCGTGGCCTGCCTTGTGTCATGCCAGAACAAGAGCCTTCAGCAAGCTGCGATGTGGCATCCTCTACCACGTCCATCTGCAAGCAAATGAGATAGGACAACTGTCTCCCTCTGCCCGTTTTCAACTGTCTAGGGCGGGAAGGCCAGATCATTTCGATGATCACACTTCAACAATGTTGTTGTCACACAGAACCATTTGATTCAAAAGGTAAAGGTGCACTATGACGCATCCATCTCTAACCTGCAGCATTTGCTCAATTCATGCAATCAGCCTAAGGAGGGTGTATCTGTCAATCTTCCGGCCTTTGCACCGTCGGACAAATTTGGCCCGAGGAATGCGGCGATTGCAGCGGCCATCATTCCCAAGCCGCCAAACAGGCCACTGCCCCTCCCAGCACTTCCTCCATAGCCGAACCTGAAAGCGGGGCATAGAATTTCTGTTCAAGGAAGCTGTCAGCCTAAACACTTTGCTCAGGCAATGGCAAAGGGTCGTTGGTATTTGGGACCTGGGATGAAAGTGAAACTGGCACCTCCGAATGGCATCGCATAGCTTTCCTGCTGCCAAAAAGAGCGAACCGCCGAGCACCGTACCAAAGTGCCAGCCGTGCTGGGGCCAGTATCTTTCCTGGAATTCTTGCCCCCTTGCTCGATTTCATGGGCATATTGTACGTCTGACTGGCAAGTTGATGAAGAATGTCACCCTGAGGCACCAGCCCAAAGAGCGCACCCATTTTGTCGAGAGCGCCGTCGCCGGCAGAAATCCATGCAGCTCAGAACGCAAGCAAAGCTGTGCGGCAATCGCCGCTATGCTCGTCGCAACGGGATTGTCTTTAGAAGGGAATGCCTTGTGGCATGCTTTCAGCAGATTGTACGGCCCCTTTGGCTATGCATCCCTGAAAAGCAAGCAAAGGGGCTGAGTTAGCAGCAAGTTGAAGCTGTTGTTGCTCGCAAAAACCCTTCAATGATCACTCATGCTTTTTCATGCAACATCGCGCCAGTGGCTGCAACTATGTTGCTTAGGTTCTCGCTGCCACAGCTTTCTACTGCCTTCTGGAGCTGTTAACATGAGCGCTGCAAGCAAACATTCTCATGTTGGCGGTGCTTTGCATGCAAGCTGCTACCTGCTGTCACCATTGCTGGAGAAGTTGTGGAATACTGTGCTTTGCCTGGCTACCTCCCATGCAAAGTTCCCGTGGCTCAATGATCTGACAGTGAACGTGGCTCAATGATCGCCGTTGCACTTCTCATTATCCTTTTTCACGAGCTCGTTTCAGTAGCAGCGCTGTCCGGTGTGCCCTTCGCAACTCCTTTGCCGCCTACGCTTGCCCGTCTGGATCTCATGGACCGGTCGATCTCGGCATTCGCTCCTCCGATGTCGTCCAGAGTCACCTCAAGGGGCAGTCTGGTGCCAAAAACTGGCACTGCCAAGGGCCAAAAGCAAACTCAAAGGGTGTTTTCTTTTTCTTGCCTACAAAATTGAGGTTTTCCTTTTGTTGTCCCTTTAAATTAACACCAACCTCTTTCTTTTGGGGGTTCCGTGAGAGAAGACACACCCAACAAACTGTTGGCAACTCTTTGGCGCAAGGGGCAGCTTGTTTCTCCACCAGCGTGTAGTAGTACCCCCGGAGCTCCATAAGCTCCTTTGAGGTTCCACGCTCCACAACATGGCCCTCTCTGAGACAAATGATCTCATCCTTAGGCAAATGACGTCGTGCGGGATTGTTTCTTTTCAAGTAACAAGAGCGCTCACATGAATGCAACATCATGCAACATCCATCTGTCTTGATCCATGTCAGCTGAGAAAGGAGCTGCTTGCCGAACTGTGGAGAGCCTGTGGGCAATGACCTCGGGCAACCCCGTCCGGCAACATCATGCCACGCAGCCCTTGCTGACGACACCCTAGTTCTGTAGTTCCGTGGTTGATGCCTTTGTTGCCGGCAAGCGTCCATCACGCTGCTGCCACTATTGGCAACCAAGCAGTCGAGGGCCTCAAGGCTAGGATTTGCTCGAACGCTTGCAAGCCCCTATGTTTCTCATTTAAACCTATGTGCGGATCACAGCCGAAACCGGATCCAACCTGGCCTCCTGCACAATAGACTCGCTCTCCGCATCTAGGGCACTCGTGGCCTCGTCCAACACAAGTATCCTTCGAGCAGTGCCGCACAGTATGCATTCAGGCATGCAGGACACTTCACGCCAAAGGTGGGGTGAGATCCCTCAGCTTCAAACAGTCCTCGGCTGCATGAGGATCGCCCGTGCAACGGACAGGCGCTGCTTTTGGCCGCCTGACACCTGACCTCCACGGTCACCCACATTGGTGTCGTAGCCGCCGGGGAAGCTCTGAATGAACTCCTGGACGCGCGGATGCAGGCAGATGTTCCCTTTCATGCAAGATCCGTTCACGAAACTACCTTGCATGCAAGAACATGTTGCCGCCACGGCTCATGAGCGCAGGCTGCCTTTGCAGCAGCAATCATCTTTTCTTCAAAATCCTGACGCGCAGAAGCTGGCACATGCTATTGTCTGCGCACCGTGTGTGCATCTGAGTCCCATCCTTTGGATCTGAATCAATCCGGCATTGCGGAAGTCCGTAGAGCAGATTTTGACGCACGGAGGTGTTGAAGAGGACCGGCTCTTGCGCCACAAGCGCCTCAGGTCCGCTCTGTCGTCGGACGTTGCGACAGCGAAGCTGCAACTTCCTGAGAAGCTGACCATGTGCCTGTGGAGATGCGTCAGGTCCCAGTCTTTCAGGGGCACTCCATCAATCAGTATGGCCCCCTCATAGGGGTCATAGTATCTGAAGATCAGTTGCCTTAAACATGTTGCAAAGGCTTGTCATGCTTGCTTGTCTTAGCCCATATGATCCATAATTATTTTACTGAAATGAGCACATGGATATCAGTCAGCCCAGGTCAAAGCGCAGCCGAGCTTCACCGATGTGCTCTTGCCAGAGCCCGAGGCACCAACCAGCGCTGTCGTCTTGCCAGGTTGTAGTTCCATCGAGAGGCCATGCAACACTTTCCTTAGGTCGAAAAAACGGAATGCCAGAGTCTGACGGGACCTCTTCTGGCATTGCTCCAAGTCTCTGCTCTGGCCGCGTCGGGTAGGCAAATGTCACATCCTCGAAAACAACATGTCCTTCAACTGGCCCATCGTAGGTGCCTGCGAGGTATAGGAATCAGCTGGTGGATGCTCGTGTCTGCAGCATCCGTCAAGAGTAGAGCCAAGCGCCCTCATGCGAACCCAAGCATCGCAAGCGCGCGTGTGAACACACGTGCAAGCACTGTTTGGAAGGCCTGGAAACACCTTGGGCTGCTGGTCAAGGAACTCGAAGTGCTCGGCAAGGTTGTCACTGATATTGAAAATGTCCTGCGCACTCCAGGCGAGTATATCAAGTAATATCAAGTATATGCGCTTGGCAGGTCCGCGGGCCTCCACCTGCGCCTTGAAGCTGTTCACCTGGTGGCCCAACTTGCTGACGAGCAAAAGGAAGGAGGTCATCTCCGCCGCCGAGGAGTCAACGTTCACCCAAACAAGGCCCAGCCAAAGGGAAATACCTCAGCTCAAGCAACGTCACAGGCTGTCGGCTCTGGTGTCAGGAAGCCTTCGCAACATTGCACGGAAGCACGGGACAGCCACACCAATTCCTCCCTACTTGCCCATACTTGGTGCTGAGACGCAAAAGATTGCTTGTTGAAGCGTATCTGCTGCAACCTGGGCAGCACCCTGAGTCGCTGTCAGCCTGAGAGTCGGTCCGGGTCAGATCTGATTGGATGAATTCGACAACCTGTCAAACAGTGCTGTCAAACAGTGCTCCTGGCTGGACTGGCACACTAGCAGCTATAGTCACGGCACTTCATGCTCGCAGCTTCTTCCAGCGACAATCTCTGCAACGAGGTGTGCCTTAGTCTTGCAGCTGCTTGGGCGAGACACATCGGGGCGCAAAATCAAAGTATAAGCACTCCCACCATTTTGCAGACAAGGGACCAGTCCTGTCAAAGAACATTTGGACAGTTGTAACATGCAGCGTCAGCATGTGTCAGCCAGTCAAGCAACAACTAGTTGACTGTGGTACCAGCTTTTCCTGCCTCGCGCGAAAACGTCTTTACCTGAGAACAGTGTACATCGGAGATCGGACATGGGCGGACCACAACAAAATCTGTCAGCTTTGAATGAAGCGGGCTGGCCAGGCGTGCAGTATGGTATGCAGCATTCAATTGAGGATTCAAAGGCTAGTTGCCACCTTGATCATCTCGCAAGCTTCTGAAACGACCCGATTGGCCACTCCTTCCAAACCTCGTTCGCGACGCTGACTACCTTTGGCTTGCTTTCCTGAGTGGAGGAGGTCAACAAGTGAATAGCTGGCTACGGTCATTGCCCATGGCAGCTGCTTCCATCTGCCATGCAAACTGTTAGTTGTGACCACTTGCAAGATGCCTGCTTCCCACTCATGAATCACAGGGCAACTAAGCCCAAATCTCAAGTATGCTTGTGCTGCAACTTGGAAAGCAGGCACAGCGGTGGCATACATAAAGGTCATCAATGGCGAGATCCTTGGCTGCCAAGGCTTTTGAACTGGTGCTCGTGCATCCGTGTCAGAGGCAAAACACATGAAACCAAGAGCAAAACAAGCACACACACACACACACGTATATCTATATATTATATATATATATATATCTGAAATCATGCCTATTTACACACACACACATATGCAAAGTCCTCTGCAAGCCCTCTTGGCTACTAATCTGCCCACGTCTTGCAAGCTGCGAGTAGAGGAAAATAAGCGACGTCAACAGCTCAGTGAGAGTGCGGACCATTGATGTCACTAAATTTGGCATGCCATCCATTACCTTGGATGCAGCGCAGTTTTTACCCCATGGTTGATGGACAAGTCAATGTTCGACAAGTTGACATACGGTATCAAACGGCCGGCTCCAGGAGCCAGGCGTGTGTGTGTGTGCAAAGGATCACGGGGCAAGCAACAAGTACACAAATGCCCCTGCGCTCATGCCGAAATTCAGGATCTGCACATGCCAAGAAGCAGCGGGTGAGGCCTTGTTTGCCATTACCCGGGCAGGTTGCTTCTCAAACTCCTCCTGGCATGTTGTGGGCTGTGGGGTTCTTTTGCCAATCAAATGCAGCTAAGCCCAACGCAGTGCAATCCTTCCACTGAACCAATCTGGCTGCCGAGCCGGCAAGCGGAGCTCACTTTGCGAAGCGCGGGCCGCGAAACCGAAACAAGCAAAGCGCACAAACCAACATTGGGGTTCGTCAAAATAGCCGCGGCGCCAGATCTTGTGCCAGCAAATGGTCAAAGAGCTCAGTTCGAGTTTGAACTCGATAGGAGTCCTCCGCACTTGAGCATTGAACTGCATGCACTCAACATCAGCTGCCGGTACTCGCGCGGGGTCCTTGAATGCTTTGGCGACGTGCTGCGAAACAACGCCCACAGTGCCCTTGATCACTGCGAGCAGCATTAGGCCAAGAATTAGGCTCTTGGCCAATGATATTCCTTAGGGTCAAATAGGACAACCTTGCGCCCGTACGCAAGCCCTGCTGGTGGCAGCTAAGTCGAGCCAAGAGTCTTGACCCACACCCGAAGGTCCAGGAACAAATGATGTGCAGAAACTGACTGTCTTTCTTCACATCTTCTTCACCTGGAGCACTTGAGCTCGACAAATCAACAATCAGACGCATTGTCACATCCCCCTATCTATCTAGGTTTCCCAATTTAGAAAAAATGAACCGGGCATGGAATTCCCGGGGTCACCCTGCCCCAATTCCATTTTTATGGGAGTGGGGACATTGTCACTCCTTCCAGCTGAGTGATGGAAAAAGAACCAAACGCATGGATGCGGGCGGGGATGCAAACAAGGTGCTAGCATTGATCAGTGTGAACACGGCACCCGACAGCACAGTTTTGATGCTGTCGCAGGTGCTCATCACGGCTGCAATCACTGCTGTGAAAAGCGTCCTGCCATGCAAAGCATCAGCATCACGAGGCAGACCTACTTCTGCCCATTTAACGCTCAACTTGAGTGACAGAGTTATTAATTTAGTATGTCTGCTTGGCCGTTAAGCACGTCCCTTTTGCCAGCCTGGCCAAGTGCCTTCGCAGGTCCATCATGGCCACAAGTCTGCCGAGCGTTGGTCGAGCTGACCTCTGAGGGGCAGGTCTTGCGCAAATCGAGTCCCTGCTCTAGTCCGAAAATCGGAACATCATGCCTTCAGGACCTTGTGTCGCATCTTGTGACTTCAGGGTTCGAAGCGTTCTGCAAGCTGACAGCCTGAGGTCCTGGCTGGATCCTCTCAAGAGTCTCTGCAAGAGACATCGACATATCCCGCCATCTCTTCAAGTTGAACTGGCCTTGCTCCTCATCTGTCTCTATCTCTGTCTCTATCTCTGTCTCTATCTCTGTCTCTCTCTCTCTCTCTCGCTCGCTGTCAGCTTGCGCATGCGTGCTGACAATCGAACATGTTAATCAATAAACCAAGGCTTATAGTAGTACAGCACGGCCACAACAAAGCACATCAGCGCCATAAACATCAAACGCGACACCACATTCAGTTTTGAACACATCGTCTGCCAGCGTGCAGAGCTCTTCGCCAGGCGTCTGAAGCCAGCTCTTCACACTTCTTGCGGCGCATGTGGGGCCCCCAGGCTTTCACCCGTGAGGTGGAGACAAGATCCAGGACAACACCTGCGACTGCACTCGCAGTTATTGGGACACGTGCAAGGCTGAGACGATGAAGTGACCCTAGCAAACTAGCAGCCGAGCCAAACAAGGCGCCTGCAGGGGGTTTTTCTCCTGAACCAAACTCCACATATGCTCCATCCGCCCCCTCGGCCACCTCGCGAGCCTGCCGATGGGAGATAAAAGGGACATTGAAGGCGGCTAATCTTCAGGCGATGCAGGTGCCTGCTTTGCGTCTCGGCAATCTGATCTTTTGCTTGGCACAAAGCACGGGCTGCCACGGGCTGCCGAAAGATCTACCAAGTCACGTCAAGCGGACTTTGACAGGATCTGATTCACTTGCGCCGTTGGGAAATCTCTGTCTTGCAAAGCTTGAAGGAGGTTATTTGAGGGAAGCAAGGGGGCTGGAATCCGTTTGAGTCTGGAGAGAGGTGGATTTGACACCTGCCCCAAGTCGGCAAGCCCATCGGGGCCTCCAAAGCTGCGAGACGGGCAGGTCGAAGCAGGTCACGCAAGTCGCGGCAGCAATCCAGCCAGGGATGGTCAGAAACTGACAGCCTGCCGCGCCCATGCGGTTCGTCAAGTATTTTTTTTCATTCGAGTTTCTTCCGCCAGGCACCCAGCCCCCTCGGCGTGCCAGGGCCGTTTCAATTCAGGTTTTGGCAGGCAGGTTGCTTCGCCTGACATCTTCATTGGCCATCAGTGAATCAGTGAATCAGGATGTTCCAGCCAACATGTTCACCATGTTCACAAGACAAATTTGAGGATGCGAGGGCGCCTCAGTGGACCACACTGCCATGCCATCTCATGGCCACCCCCCACACGCTGCGCAAAGCTGAAGGCGGACTCGCGACCTGGCAACCCGACGGCAATCACAAGTATCAGAAGTCCATACTATGTATATATGTTATTATATTTGCTCATGTCTCAGTTCGAACCCAGCCTACAAAGTTACGGCTCTGAATCTCATCGTCCGCGCTTCCTTCTGCCAGCCAGTAAACTGCCCACATCTTCCTTCAGATTGAAAGCCGCACATGCGCGCAGCTCAGCAGCTCTGCAAACACAATTCGACACGGATAATCTGAGCCGTGGAGCAGCTCGAGCTCATCCACAGGTGGCGCTGGACCTTCCACAATGCCGTGACATCCTGAGTTGCCCACTGCGTGTCAACTTTCCCAAGATCCTAGCGTGACAGTTCTCTGAACATCCTACGACGCTGCTGGAAAAACAACTAGCGAGAAATGAACATCCAGGGGCACAATATGAAAGTGTCCTCCAGCATTGCAACATCTCACTGCCAGGCTGCGACCATTGTGCAGGCGGAGCCCGAGCACTGCGCAGCCAGACGCTGCCCTGAACACTTCGGCATTTTCCTGAACATGCCAGGGGAAGGCTCGGCCGTTTCTAAGCCAACGGTGTGCAAATTGGGAGAACTCATGGTGCCCAAACTCGAGCTGATTTGCACGACGATCCCTCTTGGGCAGAAATTTCAGGGGTGTCTCACTGATCCGTGACAAGCGTGTGAGATCTGGCAAATACTCAGATCGGTCCTCAAGTCCTGACGACCAAGTTCCACATGCTTCAAGGCATCGACCTGTCGGGGGGTGGGGTTCAAGGCACCAGAAGCGCTGCATCCAGCGACAGGCAACTCAATAAAACACAAAACAAATGTTACAGTCCAATGCAGAGCTACACAAAAACGATGCAAGCCTTTGTTGGTGCGCAGTTCCAGGGCTGCGCCAACCCACCACCACTGAAGCAGCGGCTCATGTTTCACTTCCTTAGCACATGGCCCTAGCATGACGTGCACGCACTGCCACACATGCCAAGGTGCAGTGATGAACTCCTTAGCAAAAATCAAATGACAAATAAAGTCGGCGCTGACCTATGCTTGTGCGAACTTGTGCTGTCAAAGGGGCATCCTCACTGAGCACCTTGCGAATTGTTTTTCGCACGAGAAATCAGCTGCTGATCAGCACAAGTCCCTCCTCTCCTTCTACATCCAAGCCACCATGATTCTGACCCCATCGTCCCTGCGGTTTTTCATTTTCGCTTTCGTCTTCGCTTTGGCCACAGGTGGGCCCATCGCCCATACGGATCCGTCGCTGTAGGTGATCTCAATGCGTTGTATTGTCGCCTTTCCCTCCACCTCAGTTTGTTCTGTGCTCTTCCCGCAGGCCCTCCATCTCACAAAAAATCAAGCGCTCCGCCAAGCAGCTTTGACAGTCCTGACGCATAGCGGCCCTGCAGAGTCTGCCGTCGAGTCCTCACAAACACTGCAGGCAGCCGAGCAAACATACGCAAGCATGTAAACTTTGACCAAATCACGACTCACTTCAAAGCACGCATCACTAACTTCCAGGGCTCTGGAATATTTCAGCAGTGCACTGACAGACCACGGAACATCGCTTCCCTCATGGGCAACTTTTGAGACTGGGACTTTTTTAATTTTCGCGCTGAGAAGCTCAAATAATTGCCTATTTGTCCAAAGCCAAGCACACCCAAGGCTGAACCATAGATTCGCCCCTTGCGACCATGCTCACGTAGAACTTAGAACCACCATGGCCCGATACTGACTTTGACAGCGAGGCCCGCACTGCACACACTGCAACCAAATGTTCACATTGCACCTTCGCCCTCAGACGTACATGGCACGGCCTCTGAGACGGCCATTCTTGGAATGCAGGCGGTGTCGGCTTGCGTCGAACTCGGCACGGAGGTGCCATTCCTGAACCATCTTCAAGCAAGGGATGCTCACGGCAAGTGGCAAGCACTGGGAGCCCCACGCAGGCTCTTCTGCACCAGCTGTCTGGCCCTCAGTGGTTCAGACTGGTTTGCTGTGCCACCTTTCCAACAGTCTGTGGCTGACCCTCGATTCAAACTACCAAAACGACGTAAGCTTTGCACTTTCTGCTCACCCTCCTCATCGCTAGGCTTTGGCGAGGGTGAGGGCCTCATTGGAAAATGCAACATTCAAGGCTTCCTCCTTTCACCCCAGCGCTCAATTAGGCAGGTACTCAGCCACAGGTCTACGGACCTCATCTAGCTCCAAGGCCATGTGGGCATCCGAGGCTGCAAGGAGTTGCTGTAGGGCTGAAGGTGGGGCTACTTGCCTTTGGTGTCCATGAGCTGTCCATGTTGGAAGCGGCAATGGCCTTCTTTGACTTGTCTGACCAATGGCAAAACGGTTCACATGAGTCAGGCAGCATCTCAACTTGATATCATTGGCACTACCACTGGTGAGCCGAGACTGCAATCTTTGCGGAGTCCAAGCGCAAGCCATGTATTGAAAACACGCCTGAACAAGGTCTGAGTATCACACTCCCTCCCCTCCATCTGAATGACAGCTGCAGCAACCTTTCACCAAGTCCCTCCAACAAATACGCACATTGGTTTTGCGGCACATGCACTGCGAACCGAATGGGCTGGCACAAGTTTGTAATGCATGCGCCCGGCTCGCATCCATCTGGCACAAGCCCTATGATGCCTGCGTCTCGCCCCAAACCCCGTGAATCATTTGCAGCTCTCACGTTGGTCCAGGCAGAGTCGCAGGAAGAGGACGAAACTGGACATGCCAGTGACGGCGCTGCAAACCTGCGCGCAAGCTGTGCCCTAGGGTGACCGGAGCGCGCAAGCTGTGCCCTATGGTGACCGGAGAGAGGCTGTATCTTGATTATAATTCATATTGAGCACGCTTGCATTCTTTCCACGGGTTGTGCTTTGCGAAGGGCCTGCAGGAGTCGAAGGAACCACCGATTCTGTCCAGCTCGTTCAAACTCAACAGCCCGGACCTGCAAAGCAGGAGCCAGCGCTTGCGCAAGGAACGTATTTCAATCGACCTGGCTGCATGCTGCGTGCCTCGTTGCACTTTGCAGAAAAGTGAGCCACGGAAAGTGCTCCACCAAGCCTCGGCCAATTGACCGGCAATCACCATGGCCCAACGGGAGCGATTTTGCGCCATTGGCCCCACAGTCTTGTACGGAGATACCCGCAGCTTTCCGAAAGGGTGTCGAGCACTTTTGGGCTGGTCCAGCTCGTGTTTGGAGGGGCACAAGGCAAGGTATTTACGTTGACATGTCCATCTGGAACGCACTGCGTTAAACACTTATTGCTTCATACAACCGACTGCAGCTGGGCTCTCGGGCGCAAAAGTCACGCACATCGGTGCAACCGATAGGGCCAGCATCTGGCATGGAAGCCCGGAAGCTTCGAGTTGCAACACGTAAACCCTGAAACGGATGCCCCAAAATGATACAAGCACTCATCATTCAAATTGCCAAGCTTGCCCTTGGCTGCACTTTACGGATTTTCGCAGCTCTAAGGATCGCACGCCGCGAAGTGCCGCCAGTGCGATTCGGCCGTTTAGTGTCCAGTGGCTAGGTGGCGCCACTGGGGTGAGGGCATACCTGAGAAAGGCTGCCTCGGTTGCACTTCCGTGCGAAGGCAAAGCATGGCAAAGCATGCCCCACGTCCGAGAACCGAGCTAGAAGCGGCTGCTTCTGTACCCCACGTGTGCCCACCAGTGCAGCTAACTTCAGCCGCAGGGAGTTGCGTGCATCCAGTAGCAAGCACCTTGGATACTTTCAAACGTCCGTGCTATTTGATCGGATGTGAATCTTCACGCTGAAGGGGAGGCTAGCTCGCAAAGAGCAAGGTCGTCCCTCTGCCATGTGCAAACACGCAACAGGATGGCACCGAAGGATGTGGTAAACCTTGGCGACCAGCCGCAAAAAAAGACTCATGCTCCACACTGGTCTCACTCATCGCTCAGTTTTCTCAGCTTTTTAACCCTAAGAATGGACGCAGTCAGGCTGCACAAGCATCTGCTCCCAGGCCAGCAAGCTGCACCTTGAGCCCAGATTGAGAGCAACCACCGCTCTTGCTAGGTCTCATGACATGGACACAGCGCGGTGACCGCTGCGAGGCTGGCCATGCAGCACCAACTGCACAACGATCGATCCTCAGCTCGGCATGTTCAACGATTCAAGTGTCCTCCGTGCATCCTTGCCACATAGGCATACTGTGACATCCCAGCCGCTTCGCGGTGCCCTGCCCAGAAGCTGGATGGTGCGACGCAGATGCGATCGACGACTGCTCCAAGCAATGCTGACAAGCGTCATTCGTTGCAACTGTGATGAGCTCCTCCAGTCCCCCTGCACCAGCTAAGGGCGGTAGTCGGTTCACAGATTTTACAACATTCCATCATGCCTCGACATACAAGTTTCAATGTCTCTCAGCCTCTGTGTCCAGTGGCATGCTAGCGGTGCGAACATGCACCAGCTTTGTTCGCGCTGCCTCTGATAGCCTGTGGCGGCAACATGCGTGTACCCAGGCCCCAAGCATCGACATCTGCAACCCATGCTGGAACTTGAGAACTACAGGTGCGAAGCCAAAGCAAAGTGTAGATCTGCACTTTTCCCTTAGGATATGATTCCACAATCTGTATGAAGCAAATCAAGAAAGATACCTTTGTCATGGGCGAGATCTTTTTTTTGGCTCACCATCATTGGTGCCAAGAAGTCACATGAGATGTTCCAGGTTGGCCAAGGCGCAGCGAGCTCAAGCGAAGAGATCAGAGACAAGCAAAGCAAAGAAAACACATGGCAAGAAAAGGAGCAAAGTAGAATGGCTAAGTCAGCTTGGAATAGGAAGCACAGAATAATTTAAGGAGGAGAGCGCCTCTGGGGAAAAAAGCGGAGAAGTCAGGATCAGTTCATCGCATCAGGAGGATTGATCGGAGTTCTCTAGCCACTTCTAAGTATGACCGATGGCCTATCTTCCAAGTGTCTAAGGCTTCGGCTCCAAATCTCCGTCTTGCTCTGCTTTGTTCGCAAGGCGCTCGAGCTGCTCCAGAATCTCATCCTCCAAGCAAAGCTTTCCAACACAAGGAATGGGAGCGCAGGGCTCCTGAAGCACTCTATTTGGATAGAGCTCATCTGGGGACAGCCTGGCCGAGCTCGGGATGTCTAGCGCGTGCCTGCAGGTCTGAGGCACAGGCGGTGCCAATGTCAATGGATCGACAGGCCGTCTGGCAAGCCATTCGGTCTGGGTGGCGGAGTTGCCCAAACGGGCAACGCCCCCCCAAAACCCGATGCCATTCTACTGCCCGTGTCCAGCCAAAGAGGTTGCCATCAACACTGTACACCGGGCGCCAGGCAATGGAGAGAAAATCATAGCTGTGCCCACTGGGTGTGACCATGGGCAACTCCATTATCTCGGCATGAAAGAGCTGCAGAAAACAGCGCAGCTTCACTATAGGCAGAAAAAGGCAATCAAATGGGCTTGACGCAGCGGCCCGAGGCAGAGGGGACTAAATACGCCCTGACGAATTTAGCTTTCATGACGCCCTACCAAACTGTTGCTTTGAATCGTGTTGCACCATGCACCAAGCACCGGGTCTTGCAAGCGCATTTAAGCCAAGGTGCACGATGTGAAATGGGACATGCTAAGTGCGGCGACCTTGGCTATGCGTTTATTGACAAAGACTCAGCTCTGTCGCTCATCCCCTGAGCAGGACTTGGAGGGATGCCCTGCTTCGCCACGTGATCAATCAGCAGTCCAACCCTATCAGACTTGTGAGGACCCCCCTTGCGCAGCAACGCGCACACGCTCCACTTTTTGCTGCAATACTTTGGCAGCGCCCTCCCTTGCTTTGGCTCACGCTCCAACCAGGTTGTAAATGAGAGTCATGTTTCTGCATCAAACTCCAAGCCATTGTAGTGGCCTCGCACCTCGCCGGCCATATTCCAGATGATGTACCTAAGGGTTTAAACGGAGCACTGCCCATGCATCCACGTGCAGGTTTGGTTGAAGGGCGTGGAATCAACGACTGTTGGACCTTGCAGGCACCTGATTGGGGTATGGACGATCGTGTGTATCACACGTTGTTTTCCAAGAAAACGGAAAGCCGTTGATCTCGCTTCTGCAACTTGGGGGCAGGGCGGTCTGCAAACAAGCACTCAATCTTCGTTGGACCAGCGATGTGAACGGCAGCGAACGACAGTTTTGCCAAGTAGGAGGGATATGAATCTGCACTTCATACAATTGCGCTGTTTGCAATTCATGGAGCACACACGACTCATTACCACAACTTGGCTCGAAGGTAGCAGCTAAATGAGTGGCAAGTGGCCCGGTCAAGCAAATCCATCGCGTCTTGCAGTTTCTGTGAACTTCGGCCAAGCGACTTCCCTGTGAGAAATTCCTTCTGCACAGCAACGCCGCCGTATACTCTCGTGGTTGGGTAGACCGTGACTGCTTTGGGATCAATATTGATCCCAGAAAGGGCCACGTCAGGCACCTCGAGAAAGACTTCGGCGTAACAGTTGACACCCATCAGGAAAGGATCCTTGGCTGTCTGTCACTTGGCAAAGCCACTCCTATCAGCGAACCATCGCCAAACAAACATCCCACGCAATGATACAAGGACTGAGTGCTGCAGTAAAGGATGTTCAAGGGCTTATCTTCTAGGCTCTCCCTTCCATTTTCTTGACTCCCTGCCCAGAAAACGGGAGACGCACTGCGCTGTCCTAAAATATTCATTCAGCATTCATGTTCTTTGGGGCGCGCCTTTGGGAGGCCGGTTTGAACTTTTCGGATGGCCGAGCAACACTCATTGTGTTCCTTTCGCTACCAGCTGGAGGTTCCACGGGCTCATGGCGAGAACTGAGGGGTGTCTGGGGGCGTCCGCGTTTCTCTCTGCGGCCCCTGACAAAAGTACATTTGCAGTGTTGCGGCAGGAAACTTGGAGCATTGTTTGTACGTGCCTTTCAACTGAGCCTCAGCCCAAGCAGAGTTCCACTTGCACAGATACTACCCCGCATCCCAGCACACCAATGCATCTTAAGCGATGCGCGAAGAGGTATCCAGCAGCCAAAGGTTTCCTCATATGCCCCTGGACCAAAACGGTTATACACCTGTTTGGATCTTCACATTTGCTCAGTGCAGCCGCAGCTCAGGTGCAGTCAGTGCTGCGTTGCTTGGAGCAGAACTGGTGCTCACCGTTGGAGCCGCACCTGCCGCATTCAATTCAAGCAAGGCAATGATCCGATGCCATCGAGTTGCAAAGAAAACCTTAGGGCGCCTTGCGTGCTCCCCAAGCTGGGCGTCAGCGCAGCTTTGGCCGGCGCACCCACAGCAGCGATGACCAAACTTGTGGCTGCCAAGCCCACCTTTGCAACGTGCCTCTCTGACACTGCCAATTGCTTGGATGGACAGCGGGCACGACATGGGAACCTCAGAAGCAAGGTGCGTGTTCGTCCTGCCCCCGCTCTGCTTCAGTGTCTTGGCCTGGCACCAGACACACACACACACACAAACAAGTGTGGAAAAATAGTTTCACATGTCCCTGCAAAGCAAGAACCATTGAATCTTCTGACATTCTCCTTCATGGTCTCTCCTTTGCTTGGGCGACAGGAAAACGCCCGGCGACCCTGATGCTCTGTTGATGCGTTCCTTTGAGTGAAATGTTCGGATGGTTCGCCATCAATCAGTCGCTGCCCCTTTGCAAGCAAACAAACAGCATCTTGGCCCAAACAACAATCCGCCTGCACGCTGGAGCTGATGCGGGGCACCTCAGACCGCGTGGGCACGTTGCCAAGCCGAGGCCAGGGTAGTGCAGGCATGGCGCCCATCATCTTGCCACCCTCGTCCGGCCGTTCCTGAGTGCCAGTTTGAGGCGCAGGGATGTGCTGTGCGCAAAGGAGCGCACTTCGGACGCAACTCCCAAGGAGGGCTCCATGTCTTGCTCTTCCTGCCAGAGATTGGCTCTGTTTCACCAACATGGTGATACGCACCTAGTGCCGAGCATGCTTGCATGGTTCTCTCAATAAGCCAAGGGTGTGCAATGCCTGGCAGGCAGCACTTCATAGGTGACCTGTCGCACCTTCCCTTTGCTGCCGGAGTGTAGGTCATATTCGATCATCTTTACTCCTTTGAGAAACAAATCAGCTATCGTTCTTTGTCCAGCACGTTCTAGGACACAACTCCCTTCAAGTCTCAGTGAGCTTTTTGCTGCTGAACACGATTGTAGTGGACCAATATGAAGCCAAACCAGGCACAAGCCCAACGCGATTACTTCGACACACTCTGTGAAGTTCAATGGTGCTCGTAACTTGTGCCAGCAAGGAAGTGGAGGGATAGGCTGAGCTTTCGGCAGCTCGCCACAGACTGCATCCAATGGGCAAGGAGCTAGATTCTACTACCCTGTGCCCAAAGGCCTCAGCCACCTACAAAGACTTGACCGCAAAAAAGTCGGCCCCGGCAAGCCTCTAGTTGGGATGCAGCCCCCTCGGCGTGCGCAATCCCTGCTGCCAGAAGCCTCAGCATAGGCAACGGAGGAACACAGTATGCAGCTACAGCCATGCCGGAACGGAAAGTGCCTTTTCCTGCAACTGAGCTAAGCAGCATGTCCACGCCAGATCGTGCGGCTGCAGCATCGTCCGCGCAGCTTTCTGACAGCAAGTTGCAGGTCTGAGAGTTGCACTCTGTATGCTGCCGAATTACCACACACAACACAAACTGCATCTGCTGAGTCCTGCAGTCTTGGGCTCGTCGCCCTCCTCCCCTGCAAGTGCTGCCCCTTCCTGAGTAAAGAAAGCGGCAGGGCAAGCAGTTGTTGATTGCTCAAATTGTAATCAGCTCTCCGCGTAGGGAAACAAACGTCTGAATCTCCAAACTGTTTCTGGACTAACTGCACTTGTCAAGACTTGTGTGCACTTATCCCCTCCAAGTCACAGGTTGCGAGCCCTCCTTCACATCTCCAGGCTGTGCCTGGGCATGCCGACTCCAATGCCATTGCAAGTCATCTCCATGTCAGGCAGCCAAGGTGCATCTGCCTCATGCTGCGGCTGAGCCGGCCTTGGAGCTCATGCCAATCAAGATTCCAAGATGCGATGTTTCATCTTAGACAACGCTGACGTCTTGGCACGTCGCATTCCCATCGAATGTGTTCATAAATGTTCATAAAGCAAGCTGCGGTTGTGCGGTTGGAATTGCAGATCGATCTGCAATATCTTGCCAAGTTGCTGGGCTGCCTGCACCTGCTGGGCTGGCTGCCCAGTTGGCTGCTGAGTTTGCCCTTGCTGGCCCTGTTGCTGCTGAGGCTGCTGAGGCTGTGACGACAGCGGCTGCTGCGGCTGCGGCTGCTGTGGCTGCAGCTGCTGCGATGGCTTCTGCTGATGCTGCAGTTGCTGCTGTTGTTGCTGCGGCTGCTGTTCACGCTTGATCCTTGGTGCGGTGCCACAGATTCAATTGGCCAACGCAGACTGACATGGGGCAAATCGAAGGCACAGGCTACCATGACTTGGCGTCTGAGTCTCTGCTGCTCCTGTTGCACTTTCTGCGGCGCCTCGAAGATAAGCTCGCCAAGAAGGTTTGCTTCCAGCGTGCCTGACACTTCCGGAACAAGTGGGGCCGGGCATGCAAGAGCTCATTGATTCGGAGCTTGCCTCGTGGTCTGCGCACATTCAGATTCCACACAATGCTGCGGCTGTGATCCTCAGATCCCAGATCATTCATGACCGCATTTTCCCTTTGGCATGCAACACTTGATGCTGACTGAGACATTAACTGCCAAAGAACGGCCATGAATAATCCTTCCAAACCAAGCTGCCGCCAAGGAGAAGCTGCCACAGGTGCACTTCAAGTCATGCGAGCGAATGACCCCGCGGTGATCAAACGGCAGCCTGGCAAAGTGCACGCCTTGCTTCTCACCACCAACCCGCCCACCAAGCAGGCAAGCAAGCAAGCAAGCAAGCAAGCCTTGAGACTTGAAACGTTTTATTACTGCGCCTGTTTCATCCTCACAGGGCGGTCTTGCTGGCTAAAGTCCGTTGTTCTTGTCTTTTGGGCAACCTACTGTGCATCAAATGCGTAGGGCTTCATATTCGACCTCCTTTTACACTTGCAAACGCAAACGACGTTTGGCCCCGTGCCTGACTTGACAGTTCCATGAGCCGCCGCTGCTAGGCGACACAAGTGGATGTAGCTGCACCTTGTCAATATTCAATGGCCATGGTCACCTTTCAAGTTCACATAAGCTAGAAGGTGAAATCTGAGAGACTTGTGGTTTGCGGCTTGCGGTGTTTTTCAGCGCGACACCTGCAGTAGAAGGCGGAATTCGACAGGAGAAAGCTCTTTCAGCTGGTAGAAGCCTGGGCTGCAGTTGGCAATCACGGCCTCTGCAATTGCCAGTGGGGTTCAATGCACGCTGCAAAAAACCAACATTTTAAAACCAACTGCCAAGCAGGATTTCTGGGCGTAAAACAAGTGAGCGTCGCTTCCCACAAGCAATCATGCGTGCTGTGTCATCGGGAGCTGCCCCAGCTCGGGATTCAGCCCGCCTTTCTTAGCATGCTGCAAGGTGGCAGCCACTTCTTCACATCTTGCCAGCCTTTCGAAGCCCCCAGCCCTGCTTGGACTACGTACAAAGGACGCATGGGATGCGTCTACCCAACCCCAACTAGCTTCACCCACCCCTCAGTCCTAGTCGCCCAGCCCCCACTTGGCCCTTAGGGCCACGTGCCGGCCACTGATTAATGTGTCCGGCCCCAGCCTTCCTGGGGCTTCACCACGCGGATGGCACGCATTCCAGCAACTGCAAATGTCGGCACTAAACAACAAACTGGCATCCGAGCAACTTGTGGCCCGTACGTTGTCCCACCCCCCAAAAGTCATCGAGGCGTCGACCAGGCCGGAACAGCAGGAAAGGCGCTGGAAGGGGTTCATATTAAACATGTGCAAAATGTGTGTCAATGCTCTGTGCCGATAATGGCTGCGTGAGCTTTAACAAGCCACCTGCACTGTGTACTTTCAGCTTTCTTCAACATTTGGGGCAAGCAAATGTTTCAGAAGCCCACCAGTTCTTGCCGCGGTTGTTTCGGACAAGCACTGTACCTGCTCCTCTCGACAAGCAGCCACGCACAGGTACCACTGGACTCTGACGGAAGTTGTATCTGCAAAGTACGAAGGGCCCAGTTGGTGGCTGGCAGGAAATCTTCAGTGAGTCCTCCTTCAGGAGCAAAAGGAACACGCACAAACAAATCGGAAACATTCCACGCAAACATTCCACTGCACTTGCCCCAAGAGCAGTGGTTATGCATACCGCAGAACAAGTGCCAATGCATGCAGCACAGGAGGTGTGCATGTGCTCCTTGGCAGACTTTATGCCTCCAATGATGTGCGCACCTGAGATCAGACATTTGACATTTGGCACGGGTAAAACCATGTGAAATCGATTGCGCCCTACTTTGCCAAGAGGCAGTTGTGCACGCTGATTTCCTCAGCAAAAATGCTGCCAACCTGCCATACGCCAACAATGCTCGTGCCAAGCTTCTGGAGAAACCGGCGCTGTGTCCTGCCAGCTTTGCGAATCCAGTGGACATTTGTGTGCACTTTTAGCCGAAGCCTTCGTGGCTGGCTACATGAACACCATGTTTTTGCAGTCGGAGTGACAAAACAACGTATATCTTGTAGTCTGCCGGTCCTGGCCAGCCTCGACTGCGACTGGTGCAGCTCCCGGCACGGCTTGGAAGGAGATGGGCACACACCTCAACTGTCCAACCGAACACCGTGCCAAGCATAGCTCATTGCCCATGCGTTTGATTGTCCGACTTCAAGCACTGCAAGAACTTCTAACCATTTCTAACTTCTTGACAGGTGGTGTTGTCTTGCAACTCTTGGTGATGTAGCTGTTGCTCTGTCCAATCAACTCCTCTCAAGGCAACGCACCAGGATGGCAAATTATTTCCTCTTGATGATTTGGCGTGGCCCAAGCCAAACGAGGCCATTCACAGCCCTCATGGTGAACTCCAATCGTTTTGCCGGACGCTGAGAAACTTGCCGACTCCAATAAACCCCCCCCCCCGCCCCAAAAAGTGAAATACAACATATTGCAAGCTCGACAAACCTAAGAGCCGGTAGGCAAAGATTTCGAAACTAAAGCAAACACCTTAGATGCCCAAGATTGTGCAACTTGCTGGGCGCCTGAGACCTCCGAGCGATCAACAAGTGAGAAACATAGAGCTAAGGCGCAGGAAGAAAGCAACAAGAGGAGCAAACAAGCAGGGCGAGAACTGATCAAATAATCTGAAAGGCGGCAGTAGCGAGGATTACTTTTCTTTTAGTGGCTTTGGGGTGACCTCTCTGCTGGCTTAAGCGATTTCGGGCAACGCCCTTCCTCTGTCAAGCGTCACTTCTGGCACTCCGGCAATGTCTGCGCAGCAGTACACTGTGCCCTGGATGAAGCACTCCTTAAAGACCATAGAGATACGGGCGATGTGCAAGTGGGGCCTTTTGATTTGGGGAGGGGGGGGGGCTTAGGATGGGCTTCCTCCTGAAATGGAGGTGGCCCCGGGCTAGCCTCATCCCATTTGGTCTTCGCACGTGCCTCCGTGTAACCTTAATAAAATGAGGGGGGCCCAGCCTCGTCTCATTTCATTTGCCGCATCTCGCCAATATTTTGAGGGGTGCCCAGCATGACATGGAATCGCGCGGGGCTTTGGGCTGGCACCTGCAAAGCCACCTGTCGCTCTCAACAGGGTCTCCAACAAGGTGTCAACAGCCAGCAACTCAAGGGGCGAATATCTGGGAAGCGTTGAAAGCCAAGAACACTAAAACCCAACACACAAAAAGCTACTTCCTTCTGTTGAAAACCAAATGTTTTGCTAGCTGACAGAAATTCCAGGTTCGGATTCCGGCTGGATTACCCGGACTTGCTTCAAGATACTCCTTCTTCCAACCTTCCTTGCAGGGATCCAGGGATGGAGTATACATTCCTTTCCGTTGGTGAATTTACATTATTGGACCCCCCGGGCCATGTAAAATGAGATGGTGCGTCAAGACCCCCACCCCCGCCCATATTTTGAACACCGGCCCGCTTTGACCAAGCACAGGCATCCGGCATCAGGCTGGGCTAAAACTTATTGCCATCGAGAGAAAGTGGCTTTCGGCGGCATTGACGTTGTGCTCCATGCCAATAATTAGTTGCACAACAATAATGATGGATTGAACCAAATTGTCCGACATGGGGTGCGGGAAATAACAAACGAACCTAGCTTCTATGGAGTTTAGTCGTCCGTTCAGCACTTGCAGGAACAATGAAGGCCTTTTCAGTGAGAGGTGGTTCCAACAAGAACAGCATGAGTTCGTCCAGCTTCATCGTGATACTCTGACTTGCCGTAGAGGGTGCAATTGATAGTCTCCACGACAGACCTGACGCAGCGCTTCCGCGCCATGTCCCAAAACGATTCAGGCTCCAAAACGACATTGACATGCTGAATCTGCTGAATCACCTTGGCAAGATGCAGAGTAAGCTTAGACTTCCCCTTGTACAAGTAGGGCTTCCAAGCAGGACTCCTTTGGCTTGTGTCGTCCTCCTTGTTGGGAAAGCCGTGCCTTTGCGCTATCGAGTGTTGCTTGGCACGAGCGATCCAAACATGCGGCTGCTTGCCACGTGACCGCACCATGCGCAGCAAGTGGAAGTTGGTGTTGACAGGGCTGCCGAAAGGAAGGGCACTGCGAATGTAGTACCTTCGAATGTGTCCAGCCTATCCATGAAAACACATAGATGTTTCATATAGAGCAGTGCATCTCTCACAACAATTGATTGTAACGGAAGACTTTCGGTGTTGCATGCAGTCTGTATGGCAGTGCTGCAGCAAAGGGGCTGCAGCTCAGAGATGCCGGTCACATCGGAAATTGAGAGGCTCGCTGGAATGAAATCACATATGTCCTGGATGAACAAAGCACGGCTAAACACACAGCCTCCCTGAAGATCTGGCTTGAATGCTCCCAAGCACGGCCCACTAAAACAAACGTGCATCAGACTCAATATGCCTGTCAAACCGAAAGATCCCTGCCTCCAGCACAGCAAAGGCAGCAGTGACTTGGGGCAGCTCCAAGGCACAGGCACGCTCACCTGCATCTTTGCAGGCTCAAACTCGTCAGATACGTGGATGTCTCAAGCTCAACAGTCTCAACAGGCCCTGAAATGAAAGGAGCACCGAGTGGCTCTGTCGACATGCACCCTGTTTCATTTTCCTTCAGCCAAGCTTGGGCGCCTGGGCCAGCTGCGGCAACTCCGTGCCCGTTGCTATCCTGGGCTCCGCATTGCAGCCGCGTCAAGAAGCGCTGGGGGCACCCAACACGACAAACAAGTCCAGCCAAGCTGCACTCCTGCCTCTTTTGCCCAACGATCGCTCCATGATAGCCACGGCTGTGACGAGGTAGTAGCCTTTCAGCAAACCGAGCCATCCCAACCCATTCGTGGTCCTACAGCCAGGCCTCTAGCCAATGTGACACACTCACACGAGTCCGCTGCCTTTTTTGTGAAGGAATACCACCGGCCATATCTTCCCCTTCCTTGCAAGTACACACTTCTGCAAACAAATGTGCAAACATCAGTGCATGCCACATCACACCATGCAGACCTGCTTTGGGCTGAGCGCCTGAATTTCCAGCAATTCGGAGCGAGCCAAGTCTCATCAACGCTGTCATCGGGCCCATTGGCCACAGCTTCTCAACGCGCGACTCCTGCGGGCATCAAAAACAACATGAGCACCATGAGCCTGCACCAGCGGGGTTTCCCTTGTTCACCATGCCACTGTATCCAGCATGCAGCCGAAGCATTACCAACAGCTCCCATTGCTACGACTTGTACTCTGGAAGCTGCTAGGGTCCTCGGTCGGGTCCCAGCTGAAGGAGCCCTGCCGAAAGTCCTACTCAGACTCAGAACGAGACATGCACACACACACACACAGAATCCTGCCACACTCTGAACGCAAGAAGCAGTGGTTCAACGGCTCAAGCAACACAGTCGCATTCCGATTAAATTCAAACGGCACGTTGAACAACCAGCTCGCTTTGTTCACCATGCAGGCTGCTATTGATGTGTCCTCGTGAAATGGCTCCGGCAAGTCAGGTGGCAGGGTATGATCTTCTTGCTCTTCCAGCACCTGCATACACAGTAGCTTGAAAGCGCAGGTCTAAACGTTGGGTAGTGCGCAGCAGGGCTATCAATTCAATTGCGTTGGCCACTATGCGAGCGCTGTTGCCCTGGCTGCCTCTGAAATGAAGAGGTGGCTGATGTCTTCATCACATGGCAGGGGGACGTGGCTGTCACCTGTCCGTCCGGCACAAGGAGAGTGTGCAAATCCTGATGTCGGCATTGCTTAGCGTGTCTGCCAGGCTATCCGTGGATATTTGTTGCGGTCGCTAGGAGCCTCTTGAGATCCATTGCCGCGTACGCAAGGTGTGCAGCCATGCCTTGAAGCCGCTGCAATTTCCTCTCCACGGTCGGAAACCGGCGGCTGGTGAGCAGGCGCACCTGCCGCGACTGGCGATGGAACGAGACCTAGGCGCCACACGTTGCAGGGCAACGCCTCAGACTCCAGGTGGAAGACCCACAAGGCCCGTAGCTGGCACGCCATAGCGGAGTCATCAGGAGCATCTCCAAACTAACGCTGACACCGGACACCTGCAAATTGTTGACCTATATTAATAGACATATATAGCTATAAAGCACCATGAAGCCCAATTGGGGCATCCTCCTGCTCCAGCTGTTTCAGGATGCTCGACTCTGTCTGTCCACTCTTTTTGGTTCACGATTAGTTGTAGTGCACAGAGTGCTATGCCAGGAAGTGTGGCTGGTCCTGAGTCCTGACTTCATTGTTTCTTGGAGTCTGTTTTGTTTCTTGCTTTGTCTTGAGCAGGCCAACAACATGTAGGGCATACATGAGTCGTTAAAGCTCCCTTCCTCATCTTTTTGCCTGCTTGGAACTGATGGATGCTTGCTACCAAGCGGCAAGTGATCTTCCAGCTCGATATGTGCCAACGCGGAATCCAGGGACTGCAGCCAAGGTCAGGTGACCAAAACATGCAGGATGCTCCGGATGCTCTCCCGCCAAATTTTGGTCATGGATAAGTCAGGCGTGCAAGGGCCCGTCCGTCAAAGCAATCTGGCCTCTGATTCCTCTGTCACAGAGCCTTCCCAGTCCGAGTTCGAATTCTCATTGGCCGAGTTCTCTGGATCGCTCTCCGCCATGGCTTCAAAGAGTCGGAGGGAATTATCTCCCCCCTGTTTGGGCAGGAAGCTCTCTGTTGCTGCTTTTGCCTTTGGTCAAGAAGTATGGCACAGTATGGCATTGTCGTTTTGGCGATGACATGGCCCCACCCTGAGCCCAGGCAGCGCGAAGAAAATAAATGCGAGTAGCTTCATTGAAACTAGCTCCGCAAGCCCCAGGCCCGGTGCCGCAGTCGCGGACCCCAGTCACTTGCTTTTGATCGCTGGGGATGCATCACATTAGCGCTAACTCTTCTGCACAGCCGCAGGCAAACTTCATCATTCATAAGTGGCATCAATTCTGCTGTTTGTTTTTCGCAGAGCCTTCAACACCATCTTGATGCTGAAGGCTCCCCAGGTCAGATGTGCGAACATGCGAGCGGAGAATTACCGCGACTGCTGATAAGCCTACGCCCCAGGCCGCGCAGCATGTTGCATGCCACTGACGTGACATCCCGCAGAAAGCCCAAGCGAATTTGGACAAATGTGCCGTGCTAGAATCTGGTCCTAGACCGTTTGGCATTGCCCGCTCACTTCCAAGGGCTCAGATGTCGGACCTCCACGATTTTGGTACCAGTTGGGCACTATTGCGCTACATCCAGCTCGACGGTGGAAAGGCGCCCTGCGGCACAATGAAATCCATGGGCAGCTAAGAACATGGCCATGCCTGAGGAGCGTTGATGACGCCTTTGTGCCCGCGTTTCAGCTATGACCTCAGGGGCAAGGTTGGCAGCTGAAAGCAACAGAACCCGCCTAGCCTGCCACCACGCCCTCGGATCGGTGGCGGAGTCCTGCTAGTGCCGCAAAGCCCTCTGCCTCTTGACTCGGACCCGTCCTCTGGCCGCCGCACTGGAATCGGCGAAGGAATTTGCGTAGCCTGGTTCATGAGCACTTGCTCACTGCTTCGCATCGACATGTCGGTCAGGGTGCAACAAGAGTTTGGTTGCGCGCCGTGCACTCTCTGGTTGCGCGCAGAATGGCATGTCTTGCATTCCAGCTGCAAGCAAGATTTAGTCTATCAACTCATATACTGTACACGCAGACCTTTGGGGGATGGTGTCCCCATGCCTCTGACTTGAGACATTTGCGAAAACTGGATGCGCCCTGGGCGGCTGTGCATTGCTATGCTGGCCATGCCGTTACTCAGCTTAGAGTTTGCTTTGTCGAGCTCCACCGCTAAGCCAGACCTGAAAGCAAGTTGCAAATGCCCCCCTCTGGGCCGTACACCTCTCTCAGGCTCTCCCCGCACAATTTCGCGCACTCAGCAACTGTGGGTCCGGCAAGCCCGCGGAAAAATGGCGCCAGAAACATAGGTCGGAGCACGTCAAGAGCTCCCAGCAAGCGCGCGGAAAGCGCAATCTCCGGATACGCCACAGCCGACCTGTGCTCACTGAAGTTTATCCACCACATGCAAACCTCTCAATCAATGTGCTGCTCCCGTTGCCCCGTAACATGCCACCGCAAAACATCTCACACAAGTTGCAGTTCTCTGAAAGTGGGGATAATCGGTCTTGGGTTTCCTTGCCAGCCTCTACTTGGCAGCTGATCAATATTCCTGTTTCCGGAAAACGCCATCTTCGCGAGAAAAAAAGTTTCTTTCGCGAATCTTTCGCGACTCCATCGCCACGCCCTTTTGTTTGCAGCGTGCGCTCTGGAGCCATTGTGGTTGCTGCAGTTATGCTTGCAAACACGGTAGCCGCAGTTCACTTGCGTGCAGTACGTAGTGTTAAGTGCAAGCAGTCACCGTCATTCGCCCTTGCCACTTGCGCTTGCCGGCAATGTGCAGAACCTTGCAACAAGCTCCCTGACCTTTCGCCGGTCTTTCGCGGATCTTTCGCGAAACTTGCTCCAAAATAGCCCAGCCAACGTTATGGATTTGCACCATTCCCAACAGAGGCAGGGAAACAATAATGCAAGTGTAGGTTCTGCGTATCTCCATATCTACAAGGGAGCGGGGTCTGCAAATATGTAAGTGCACAGGCACGCCTCCAAGAATCCAACGCGGAATCTTTCGCGAAAAAATAAGTTTCTTTCGCGAACTCCATCGCCGATCTTTCGCGGAGGGATTTAAGCCAAGACGAATGGTCACCGAATACATAACTCCTTGCAAGGACCTTTTGATCAACCCCCACTTGGACCTTATCTTGTGCGTCGTGCAACCAGGTGAGCGCAATGAGGCTCATGACTGGTATCAACTGGGAGCCAGGCTTGCTCTCCTGCCCCTGGGAGGTAAGCAACTTGTCTGCTGCGAGGTAGCCACTCCTCGCGGCGGACTCCATTGAGCAAGGAAACTCCGTTCGAGTCCAGCAGCCGGATGTGTAGAAGTCCTTGACTGGCGATGCCTGATCAGGGCGAAGCTTCTCTGTACCCACAACTGGCCGGTGGATGGCCATGGGCACCCGGTTCACTACACTGTGCACGACCTTGGCGGTGGAAACCTCTGGAAAGCTCTCGCGAAGCTCTTGCAACGTCCTCTCCACGATCTCGTCATCAGTCATGTCGGACAAACGCCCAGAATCAATGACGTTCGATCCAATGAAAGACGGTCTCTCCTTCCATGGCTTGCCAGTGCTGTCCTTCCCGGGGTAGATCTCAGAGAAATCATAAAACTCGCAATTCAAGTCATCCTTGTTGTACGTCCTGGCCCACATTTGCTTTCCTTCGGAGACCTTTCGGTCAAACCAAAGGTAAACGGATAGGTACCGGCACGGCTTCAAGGCCTCCAAGCTTGCAAAGCTTGGATGCCTCACCCAGGCTGCGGGCAACAGCGGTAGCAATGTGTGCGGAGGTAAGGAACTGATGACTCCCATCTTCGCCAAAATCTTCTCGCCCGAGTCAAGAATGACTCCCTCGCACTTGTCGCTGCCTACAGGGTCCGACAAAGCTGACGACTACCTATCCTTCTTGCTCGGTGCAAGGTTTACTCAACGAGCTCTGCCTAGGAAGCCCGTGACTTCGCAGTTGGTGCGCACTTCGGAGCCCAACTTCTCTAACTCGGCCCTCGCTGGGGTTAGCAACTCCCCGAGACCACACCCAGCGAACCCCATCTCCATGGAGGAGCGACCCACGAGGCGCCGGAAGAAGCGGACCAGGGCCGTTGCGGACACCTCCTCGCAGAAAAAAACCGAAGACTCTACCCCTCTTGCAATTTCGTACGCATCACATTTAACGCTACCTGCTACAGGTTGAGGTTTAGGGTCTCCAGGGTTTAGGTTTGACCCTGCGCAGCACTGCGCAAGGCCCGGGCAATTCCACATCACATTTAACCCTACCGGTGTTGGTGGGAACAGCCGACAAAGAGGTTGAGGTAGGGTCAAATGCGACCGTTCTGCCCCACACCTACACAAAGCCTAGAAAAGCCCAGCTCCAACCTCTGACCCCTTGTCACGTTTGCAATTTCAAGGCAAAGGCAGTCCTCCACTGGCACGTTCAAGATAGCATGCGACAAAAAGCCCCAGAAATGCGTGATGTAACCCTCCGTCACTCCCAACCCCCGCAGAAAGTCAGCACCTGATTGGCCATCCTGAGCGAGGCACACGAAAGCGTCAACGCATTGGTTTTGAATGGCTTGCCCTCGGGTGACCAGCCCCGTATTTCTGCACAGTGTGCAATGTCGCAAATGTCCAGGCATATTCCACGTATTGGACTGATTTCACATGTTTGAGTCCTCTCTTCTATTATGCAATTTGCTGCCTGCACAGGTTCCCTCGCACTCTCTCTCTCTCTCTCTCTCTCTCTCTCTCTCTCGCTCTCTCTCTCTCTCTGCCCGATTCCCGGCCACTTCCCATCGAGTGTCCAGCTCCATCAGCTGCTCCTCCGAGAGGCTGAGGCAATGCACAGCCGCTGGCACCGTGGAATGTTTGTCCGCCCAGGACACGAAGGGATCCACCACCGAGACCGGGCCCCAGGAGGCTGGCGCCGGCAACGGCAGTGTGCGGATGTGGTGCTCTTGACGGCCCTTCACCCAGGTCACGAAGTGACGCCATGGCTGCCAAACTATCCTCAGAACCATCTCGCTCAACCCATGGCTAACTGGAAAAAGCGAGGTCTCTAATATGTCTGCTGTACATACATGAAGTAATAAATTAATATTACGATATGGATTTAGTACAATAAATCTTGTTTAAAACGTAAGCGGCCAAGCATCTTCTCCAGGGTGCCCAAACGCTCAAGTAGCTTGAAGAAGTTCGGGTACTCTGATACCACGACGTGCGGTCCAATATGGACAGGGTCACGCATGACTCCATCGATCCAGCTTCGAGCACGACCTCCCAGGATAGATCGGCTCTCCAGAACTGTCACCTTCAGCCCGCGCTCCGCCAAAGTGACCTTACCATAGAGCCGGCTGGATACTCCGACCCGGCGTCTCAATGAGACATGGAAACCAAACTAACCAAAAGGGTGGCATCAACAGGGGCAAGGAAAAGTGAAGCCCAAAGTCCTGCGGGAAGGTATGCCCGAGAGGCAGCTGCGGCCAAGCCAGCCACTCCCCCGCCGACTACCACTACATCCACGGCTGTCATGCGTGCAACCAAGGGATCGGAGCATATCGGAGCTGTCACTTTCTGCAATGGTTTGTTTCTTTACCTGCTCAACCAGCCAACCAGTCTTAGAGAAGACATTGGAGCAATGCTGCCATCCGAACTTACAAGCTGCATATACGCACACGCTAGTGATGTCTGCATGTGCGCGTGATTGCGGCACGTGGCAACAAAACACTGAAACTAAACAAGCTCAAAAAGCCACAGTTAACATTCATTGTCCCCAACTGACACGGAACTTTTGCAACCGGACCCAGTCAGCATTGAGTCAAAGCTTGCCTGCTCCATGTCTGGAGCGGCCGCGCCAGAACTGTCTAGCCTTGCAACGGCACATCATAAACGCAGCTCAAACATGCACAGCATCCATCCGAGCAATTTAGCCCGCAAGGCCGGGACGCTAAGGCTTCGGCAATTTGGCTTCCAGGGCAGCGGCTTCCTGCGGCTTCCACTCAACTCGCGGGCTATGCTTTTGGCAGTGGCCACTGTCGAACTTGTCGAATGCGCGCGCTCTGTTTCTGTGCCGCATCGTCGCACGGTGAAGCATCACTGGAGTCATTGGAGTCACTGGCATAAGCGCTCATGCCCAGCAACCTGGAGTGACTTCTGCTGACAAGTGCATTGCCAAAGACAGTGTGGCTACTTATTTACATCCTGCAGGTCCGAATGTTGATGCCGCTGCAGAACGCAGATTGATTTAGTTTTGTGCCTCACGACCGAAGCAGCCTCATACATAAGGTAAAAGCTGGGGAACGGATTTCCAAGCTTCTGCTTCTTGCTCGCACGTTGAGGCATGGCGTCTCTCAGCAACCTGGCCACAATCTGCCGAACGCAACGGCATGCTAGCATTGGAACAGGGAAAGGTGGGCAGGCCCTGGAATAAACCAGGAACACACCGCCCAAATATCGGTAACCAGAACAACGGGACGCATCCAAAACAAATTATATCAAATATTAAAAAGCAAATGACATGAGTGCAACACAACAGCGTATACGTATCTTGGCCTGCGCCATGAAACACATACCAGAAAAAAGAATAAGCTCAGGCGATATCCCCAACAGCACCACACCCTCCCAGAATCGCTCGCGGAACGCACCGCGACTGGTTTTGCTGAGGATGCCGTGTTGTAACTTTGTAAAGCAAAGCTAAGAGTGACAGCGCAATCGCGCCCTGATCGGGGCCCGACGGCGCAGTCGGGGCCCGATCGGGGCCCGACGGCGCAATCGGGGCCCGATCGGGGCCCGACGGTGCAATCGGGGCCCGATCGGGGCCCGACGGTGCAATCGGGGCCCGAGCGGGGCCCGACGGCGCAATCGGGCCCCGACCGGGGCGCGATGTGTCCCGTGGTGCAAGCGGGCTCCCACCAACCCCAGCCACATATTACAGCTCAACGCCGGTTTTGTGTATCCAGCAAAACTATGGGCCATGCCAGCTTGGTACAGTTGACGCGGCCCGACTGAGTCCGGCCCCGATGATCGGGGCCCGACGGCGCAATCGGGGCCCGATCGGGGCCCGACGGTGCGCTCGATCGGGGCCCGACGGTGCAATCGGGGCCCGATCAAGGCCCGACGGTGTATCGGGGCCCGACGCCGCAATCGGGCCCCGACCGGCGCGCGATGTGTCCCGTGGTGCAAGCGGGCTGCCACCAACCCCAGCCACATATTATAGCTCAACGCCGGTTTTTTGTATCCAGCAAAACTAGGCCATGCCAGCTTGGTACAGTTGACGCGGCCCGACGCCCCGATCGGGGCCCGACGGCGCAATCGGGCCCGATCGGGCCCCGACGGTGCAATCGGGCCCTGACGGCGCATTGCCCGACCTGTGCCCGGTGAACCTCGCACACTTTCCTCAGGGCTGCCCCATAGCTTTTGCAGAACCTGGTGCAAACCTCGTGGAGCTTTTTTTGGAACCCAAAGCCTAAGTAATACTCAGTAATGCCAAGCATTTTTTCTGCTGCCCAGTGAGAGTCCCGCAGCAACGTGATTTGATTTGCAACAAAGCTAACACTTCGGGCCGCACTGCCTGAAGAAGTGAGCAAGTGACAAAACATTGAAAGCGGATTTGCTTAGTGTTCCGCCCATGAGCAAGGCGATCTTCTGAGCAAACGACGGGCGCACGTTGTTTTTCTTTAGGGCAGACCTTGCGACACCTTTGTGTTAACCTTGTGGTGCCTTGTGGAACCCTTGTGGAATCCTTGCGAAACTCTGAACCTGGTGCAACAATGGTGGAACCCTGGTCGAACTTTGGCGGAACCCTTGTGGAACCTTCTCAAACCACCCCGCAGCCCTCCACTGGTGGAACACTGGCGGAACACTGGTGGAGAAATCTTGTGGAACCGTGGCTCAAACCACCCCGGACCACCCCACTGCCCTCGCAGAACCTGGTGGAACCCTGGTGGAACCGTGGTGGAACTGTGGTGGAACCCTGGTGGAACCTTGCCTCAAACCACCCCGGACCACCCCGCAGCCCTTGCAGAACCTGGTGGAACCCTGGTGGAACCCTCGTGGAACCTTGCCTCAAACCACCCCGGGCCACCCCGCTGCCCTCGAAACCCTGGTGGAACCCTCGTGGAACTTTACCTCAAACCACCCCGGACCTGGTGGAACGCTGGTGGAACTTTCGTGGAACCTTACCTCAAACCCTTGCAGGACCTGGTGGAACCCTGTGTGCAACCCTCGTCTCGTGGAACCTTACACCTCGCGGAACCTGGTGGAACCCTGGTGGAACCTTGCCTCAAACCACCCCGGACCACCCCGCTGCCGCAGAATCTGGTGGAACCTTAGTGGAACCGTGGTGGAACCGTGGTGGAACCCTGGTGGAATCTTGCCTCAAACCACCCCGGACCACCCTCGCAGAACCTGGTGGAACGCTGGTGGAACTTTCGTGGAACCTTACCTCAAACCACCCCAGACCATCCCGCAGCCCTTGCAGGACCAGGTGGAACCCTGTGTGGAACCCTCGTCTCGTGGAACCTTACATCAAACCACCCCGGACCACCTCGCAGAACCTGGTCAAACCCCACGGTTCCACCAAGGTTCTGCAAGGGCAGCGGGGTGGACCGGGGTGGTTTGAGGCAAGGTTCCACCAGGCTTCCACCAGGGTTCACGCTGGTGCAACGGAACCTTACCTTAAACCACCCAGACCATCCCGCAGCCCTTGCAGGATGTGGTGGAACCCTTTGTGGAACCCTCGTCTCGTGGAACCTTACATCCTGGTCCTGGTGGAACCCTGGTGGAACTGGTGGAACCCTGGAACCTTGCCTCAAACCATACTGGACCACCCGCTGACCTCGCAGAACCTGGTGGAACCGTGGTGGAACCGTGGTGGAACCGTGGTGGGTGGAACCTTGCCTCAAACCACCCTGGACCACCCCGCAGCCCTTGCAGAACCTGGTGGAACCCTGGTGGAACCCTGTGAAACATTGCCCCGCAGCCCTTGAAGAATGTGGTGGAACTCTGGTGGAACCATGGTGGAACCCTGGTGGAACCTTGGTGGAACCCTGGTGGAACCTTGCCTCAAACCACCCCGGACCACCCCGCAGCCCTCGCCGAACCTGGTAAAACCCTGGTGGAACCCTGGTGGAACCTTGCCTCAAACCACCCCGGAGCAGCCCTCGCAGAGCCTGGTGGAATGTGGTGGAACTTTGGTGGAACCTTGCCTCAAACCACCCCGGACCACCCCGCAGCCCTCGCAGAACCTGATGGAAGCCTGGTGGAACCGTGGCTCAAACCACCCCGGACCACCCCGCAGCCCTCGCAGAACCTGGTGGAACCCTGGTGCTCAAACCACCCCGGACCACCCCGCAGCCCTCGCAAAACCTGGTGGAACCCTAGCCCGCAGCCCTCGCAGAACCTGGTGGAACCCTGGTGGAACCGTGGTGCTCAAACCACCCCGGACCACCCCGCAGCCCTCGCAGAACCTGGTGGAACCCTGGTGGAACCGCAAACCACCCGGACCACCCCGCAGCCCTCGCAGAACCTGGTGGAACCCTGGTGGAACCGTGGTGCTCAAACCACCCCGGACCACCCCGCAGCCCTTGCAGAACCTGGTGGAACTCTGGTGGAACCCTCGTGGAACCCTCGTGGAACCTTACCTCAGGGCCGCCCTGGACCACCCCGGAGCCTATCTGGGCTGAGACCCCAAAGCTTTCAGCTGTTGGGGAAAAACAAAAGAAGAAGAACAAAAAACAAAACGGAAGCAAGCCGCTCACGCCCATCAATTTGTGATAGCAAGTTCGCCGAGCCCTTGGGCCAAAAGCGGCGAAATCACTCGAGCTTCGAGAAGCGGTTGACGTGGACTGGACAGCGGAAGTTGGTTCCAAACCTGATTGCGTGTTTATGTGTGTTTAACTTTGACTGTTTGGCGTAGTAGATGCACTGCCTTTGCAGACCGTTCAAGGTTAGCTGGATTCGATTCTACTCGCCACTGTGGCAAAAAAGCAGGCTTCTTCCGAGCTTTTGCTAGTGCGCTACAATCCGGTCCCAACTCAACTGCAAACAAAGCGTGCGAGCATGATATGTGCACAAGTCTCCCCTGACAAGGCTTTGGGCTTAGAACCGCCGAATCATCTGCACAATTCCGGGCCAACACAGAAGCCGTTGGCGCCTGCCAACCTCCCGCAGCTGGTCGGTGAAAGGCCAGCACCCAAGCGAAAATACGGCTGTGTCACTGAGTCGCCACAGTCGTGGATCATCATGAAGGCTTTGAGCGACCTGGCTTCGCATCAAAAACAGCGAGCGCCTCATCTGGCAAAGTGGATAGATCAGGCCAGCTGCGTGCTTGCTCACAAAGGCATCACGGCCATCCTTTCCAAAGATCTCTGCGCTCGATAGACGCCACACGCCTGAAACCCAAACGATACTGACTCAGGTCAGGTCTCAAATCTACCCGCAGACTCAGCAAATAACAGAACGTGCACGGTTTACACGTCACGGTAAGCAAACCAGTGACTGACTAGCAGTGTCCTACCTTCATGACACACCATTTGTGAAGCTTCCAGACCAGAAGGCGTGCTGGATGAGTCCTAGCCGGCAAGTGTGGCTTTAGCCTTTGGATATCTCTCCTTTGCCACAGCTGCCAGCAGTCATTGCCGAGGTGTAAGCCCCCCACAAACTTGACGCAGGCGTCCACGGTGATGCGCTGTGACTTGAACATTGCCGAGTCTGGGACCATAGCGATCTCAGCAAGGCCTAAGCTAGCTCTGTCCCAAGCATTCCAAATCTGCGTGAATGAGCAAGTGCATTGCTGCAAACAGGCAGCCTTCAGCCTTGGCCTTCAGGTCTTCCACCTTCAGCTGAGTCGGAATGCGGCATGTGCAACAATGCTGCATGCGGTGACTCTACCTGCATTGATTATGCCCTCTTATGCTGTTTGGCCGTGCTCGTCTCCACCCACTGGGGGCCGTTTGCTGGATCCGCAGCCGCTTGGACATCCTACTGAACTGTGGTTGGGGTGTCGCCATCACCTTCCATGTGCGGCTGGGATTGTAGCACCGTTTGTTTGGCGGAGCTGTCGCCAGTGACTCTCAGTTTCTCCTTGGCCCACTCTTTGACATCGTACATATCGTGCCTCAAGCAGTCCATCTGACATGCCCATTTTGTGCGAAAGTGTAGTCTGAGGGCTATTGCAGGCCAAAAACCGGCCGCTGCCTACAATGACTGATGCGCTATCTTGACAACCCTGCCCCACCTTCCCAACACCTTCATAGGCCCAAACGTTCGCAAGATTGAGCACGGTTTAGCTAAGGCACTACGTGATGGAAGGCAAAGGGGCAAGCCGATGCACTGTCAGTCATCGTCAGGGCAGAATGCAGCATCCAAGGCGGCAAAAAAGAAGCTGGATGCAAGTGCAAAAGGTCCAAGCCAATGATCACGCGAATGAAGCCATTGTGCGGCTGTCTTGGCCGAGCTGCATTGACGTTGAAGTCGCCTGCTGCAGTAAGTTGCCCCGCGGTCTTGGCCAAGTTCTGCACAAAGTGCAGTGCTCTCTTCAGCCCATCACCTGAGGCACATGAATTGCGCCGTCACTCCCACGAGCTTAAGAGCCCCGTATGCCCGTATGCGAAAAAAAGTTCCACAGCGCAGCCTCGCAACCGTATCTGGGGCCGCCAGGCGAGTCCACGAAGGGCAAGTGCACGCCTGAGCCATGTCGGAAGCACAGTTGGACATGGGGACTTGCTTTGAACAATCGTTATTTACTCCCAGCGGCTTGCAATTGCAGTTGTGCCCAATTGCAGCCTCAGAGCATGGGCCGTTGGCACCTGCGCGTGGGCTACAGGTTGACTCGCGGTGCAATGTCCATATCTCTCTCTCTCTCTCTCTCGCTTATTTTAACCAAGCGAGTGGCCTGGCAGGGGATTTCACGCCACAGAGATGAATCCCACACCTCCGCGCAAGGGTTTTGACCGCCTAGACTACGAGATGTTTGTTTTAACTCACGCTGCGACGAAACTTCCAATGGCAAGGCTCCACGGCGGTGCAGTGGCCCAGAAGCTGCGTGAAGTTGGCCTGGCGGGAAGCCGCGAAACGACCCGGTCCGAGCCTCGGCCTCCCCCAGGCCTCCCAGGCACTGCCCACAGCCAGCTGCAGCGAAGGCCTGGTAGCCTGCAGCTGACCCAGAAGCTCCTGACAGATTGGACTCCGGGCTGTGAATGGGTGAAAGAGATCCCATTCACCTAACTCTCGTTATCTGAGGTCTATCTGGTTACACGGATAGAATTGAGTGAAAGGGATGAAATTATCCCAGAAGAAAATTTGGAATTCTGAACTGGTGCTTGTTTTCCCTAGCTCTTCCTCACTCCAGTCTCTGCGGATACCTACAATTGCCGCATCTGAGTTGCCATTGGTGGAATGTGACAGTGGATAAATGTGATTTATAATTGACTTGGCCTTTTTGCCTTTTTGCGCCTTGTCACAAGGACATGCTCCAGGAAACACACATTCGGACCGGTTCAGCTTGGCGTCCTTCTGTAGCAAAGGTTGAGTGGGGAACTCCTGTAAGCCTTGGATGCGGATGCGGTCTACGGGTGGCTCTTTTTTTGAGGGCTCCCACGCCCATTTCGGGGGTTCCCTTCTTGTGAGACAAATCCGTATCAGCCTAACAAGCAGGAAGCGGTTGCTTGGCGGCTGCTCAGTTCGAATTCGAGACGAGCAGCATGCCATTCTCATGCCTCCACCCAGCCATCTGCACACCACAGGCCATACTCGAGAGCGAAGGCGCTGTGCGTAGGCCTCTGGGGTTTCATCACCTCGGCCAAAGCGGAGGGAGGAGGCTCGGCCAAGTAGGGAAAATCAAGTCTAAGTGAAACCATTTACAGAACAGCTGCCCAGAGTTATTTGCCGCAAACATGGCAGGCAAGCTTCAAGACAAGCCATTGTTCGTGAGCACCTTCCCCTCCAAGACAGTGCCAGATCGGCCCTTCATGCCAGACTTGCCTTGCGCCAAGGCAACCATTCGCAATGCGTTTGCATTGTGCGTGGCAGCGGGAACTTCCAGAACGCGCCTCGAGCCATGATGTTCCATGTCAGTATTTCATGGCCCGCCAGCCGAAAGACTTGAGGCAAATGGTCGCTGATGGGCTGCTTGGGGTTGAAGCAGTCCTGACAAAGCGCGCTTTCCCCAAACCACACCACCTCTCATTGCAAAGCACTTGATTTGCTTGGTCCTCTGGTGGCAGCAAAGTTTCACTACATCCGCTTGGGGATGCCATGGGCCATAACACACGGTGTGTGAAAACGTTTGATCGTGATCGATCCCTGTGGGCCAATGTCTTGGAATTGCAGGACTCAACACGTTTGCCTTGGTGAATGGCGCCAACCAACCAGCTAGTCATCCTTGAGCCGAAAACCGCCGATGCACTTCCGCAACTGCAGCTTTCATAGATAGCATGCCACCTGGATGCTGCACCCAAACTACTTTTCTCCTTTATGTTCAGTGGGAGACAAATAGATCAGCTTGAATGCCAATGGAGGTTTGGCTGTCCTGCTAATATACATCAGCACCTCCTACTGGAGTTTGACCAATGAAAAGGGTCAAAATGTTGAAGTCTCAGAGTGCAGAATCTGGGGTCTTTGCCAGAAACTAGCCCGCTGTCTTTCACACGATGCCCACGGATCGTCACCCAGCATGGCACCACATGGACAGCGCGAAGCGCTGACCGAAGGTGGGCAGCACCTCATGCGGCATGTCCGAGCGGAACATGACCAGGGACCCACCATCCTCGGCGCTCAAAATGCAGCCATGCCCATGATGGTTCTGCTTGTCTGCTCACAGTGTTTGACTTGGCTCGCTCAGGCCGTCAGGGAATTCTACACAGCTTATAGCTTCACCTGATGACTGAAACATAGCCATGGTTCTGGCAAGACGTCCACAAAATTCTGCAGATCTGGTTCTCCCTTGGCTGCGCGGTTCTGAATGTACCGACGAGTGCCTGCCCAAAATTCCCACACAGCCAGCAGCCAGTTGGTAAGCCAGGCCGCCTCAGGACGAACAGCATGAGCCCGGAAAGCTCCTCCAAGCCCTTCTGACCATTGATCCTGCAGGTACCTGCCCGGCAAGCAAGTTTTGAAGCCTTGCTTTCTCTGCCTTTGGGCCTTTAGGCAAGCCAAACAGCACCTAAATACGCACAAGATGATCGTGATGCGGCGTTTGTAGGAGAACCGATGGTGCTCTGGCAGTCTTTCGGGGTCGTAATCCTCCTTGGGCACGTAGTCCTGCCGCGAGTGATGCAAGACAGGTGCTTGCAAATTCCCGCGCCTCATGCACTTGGTAGGAGACTCCCTCCCCATCATAGCACGCAAGCCTTGTGGGAAAGAGCAAGTAAACAAAGTACGCAATACGTGACGTGTGATGTAGTGTTCGAGCAATTGTGAATCCATGCGTCCGGAGTGCTGCAAGGTGCCAGGTTCCAGCGTCTGTCCAGTCAGCTCACCGATGCGGAGACAAAGACCTCTCAAACATCAAACTAGGCACAGCAGGAAACTGAAGAGAACAAAACGCTTCCGCGAAGCTTTGCCGCCAAATCAAGGGGGTGCACAGCACAACCTGTCTTAGATTTCTGGCTACTTGCATAGGTCACAGGCTGCGGACTGAAACAAAGACACCTTTCGGGTGTCTTGGCTCGCCTGCCAGTCTCTTGCAAGGGCGTTGTTCAGGCGAAACAAAACTAATCCTTGGTTCATAGCCATCTTCCAAACGTATTCCAAATGTATCGCTTTTGGTTGGTGAAGGCCTTTTGTGGATGGCTTGGCGGTTTCGGTTGGCGGGTTTGGGTTTGGGGGGTTTAGGGTTAGTGTGTGTGTGTTGCTTTGGGGCATTGGGGTTGGTGAACGATGCGGATGCATGCCGCTATTCGGGCGTTGCGGGGGGGGCGGGGCCAAGGACTTCCAACCCAAAATCACATTCAGAGAGCACACCCGAAACGGCAAAAACGGCAATCAATAAAACCCCATCCCCTTCGAGTGACGCTGTTCGTAAACTTTCCTTTGCGGGCTCAACCGACGCCACTTCACGCCACCTTAACCTCCAAGAAAGCACCCAGTATACCCATTCACCAACATACTGGATTCATGCCGAGGTGCCACTGAGGAACGATCCTCCGAATGCCAAGCCGAGCAGGCCTTCTGCAGCTGCATCCTCTGGCTTCAGGATGGTCAGTACAGGCAGGCTGCCAAAGTACTTCCTACAGCCCAAGGCAAGGGATTGCACAAAAGGATCGCGCAAATGCCAAGCTGCCATGAAGCCAAGTGTCTTGTACTGCTCGGACCTGGGCGTTGCCCAGTGGGCAGCAATTGAGGCCGAATAGCACGATTTAAGGCATTTGGCTGGCCTAGCCAAGCCATGCACCGAGATATGTTTGAGAGCGCGGCAACTGTGGCTCATCTGGATCACCTATGTGAAGCTGCACTGCAATCCCACACCCCCAATGAGCTTACCCTGCTTGGCATGAGCAAAAGAAAGAAGGAACAGGTGCTGCTCTGATCTGAAAGAACAGCACATGTGCAAGCGCCTGAAGGTGTCAATCGGCCCAGCTGGTGCAGTTTAAGGCTGTCCGCCCGCATCAGCTTCCTGCGTAGCAAAACTTAAGAACTGATGCATCGCATCACTCTTCATGCATCTCAACGCAAAGCTTGTTGATTTGACACCTCGCACATGATGAAAGCCTGATTCTGTTTTGTTCCGACAAGTGGCACCATTTCTGGGCAAACTGCATTCTGCAACCTCAGCTTGGTGTTTCTGCTCGCCCTGCTAGCCAGCCAGCATCATAAATGCTTGCCTACACACCTGATTGTACTCAAGTGGTGCGAGATTCAGCTTTCCTGTTCAATTTGGAAAGCCCTTCCCTGCCAGTCGTCATGCAGGTCGGGTCAAGAGTCACTAGGAGCATGCCGCACAACTCACCATGCATTCGAGCTGCAACGACAGCCCATAGAAACGGCCCTCACGATACAAAGACTCCGCAACAGCTCCATCCACCACCTTGATGCATCATGACGCAAGGTGTGTGTTGGATGCAAATTGACCCGCAGGACCCAAACACAGTGGAAGCCGCACCTTGTCAGCGCAATCTCTCCCAGCAATTGCCGCCTCGATGTGCACATCAAAGAAATGAACCAAAGCTCATCAGGGAAAGTTGTGGCCTCTGTTGCGTCCCCAGGCTGCAGCACACTAGGCGATTCAATTGTCCTGAAAGCAACGCTGAGAAGCCTGCGTAGTTTAAGAACACTCAGATAGTCAAGGCCAGACCGTTCGGAATCACAACAAAGCAAAGCTCGGTTAAAATATGATATGGTGCATATATATATATATACATGTGTGTAAGCATGCATATGTGTGTATGTGTGTATGTGTGTATGTGTGTATGTATGTATATGTGTGTATGTATGTATGTATGTGTGTATGTATGTATATGTATATGTATATGTATATGTATATGTATATGTATATGTGTACGTATGTATGTATGTATGTGTGTATGTGTGTATGTGTGTATGGGTGTATGATGAATGAATCAATCAATCAATCAATCAATCAATCAATCAATGAATTAATGAATGAATGAATGAGTGAGTGAGTGAATGAGTGGATGAGTGAATGAATAACTGACTAAATGAACGAATGGATACCTGACTGGCTGACTGACTGACTGACTGACTGAATGAATGAATGGATGACTGACTGACTGACTGAATGAATCCATGAATGGATGGATCAATGAATGAATGAATGAATGAATGAATCAATCAATGAATGAATCAATGAATGAATGAGTGAGTGAATGCATGAACGAATGAACGAACAAATCAAGAATTGCGCACATGCATGTATCTAGTTATCTATGTTATGTATGTTGCGTATGCTTCGCATGTTACGCATGCTTTGAATGCTATGCATGTTTACTGCACATGCGTACACTGTGGGGGTTGTCCAAAACCTAAGGGCGAGGTTTACTTACTTTCGTGTACTTGCACTCGCCCTTGCGCCTTCTTGCGCGCGCAGCATTCTGCGCAAAGAGTTGGACATGCGTTTTGCTTAGGTTTTACTGGAATGCCCAAAAGTAAGCTCAAGGGGGGTTTCTCAACTGTGGAAAGCAATGTTTTCAAGCTGCGAGAGCCTTGTGTCAACTCAGCAAACACGAAATCTTTCATTGTGGGCTTCTCTCTGTCTGCTCGAGGACCAGCCGCGAAAATCTCCAGACGTTATGTTTCGGTTATAGCGCACCCAATGGGGCCAAGCACCCAAGTATATGCTGGCCGCAAATCTGAGCGCCGGCTGAGCGCCAGCTGGGCAACTCCTGGCTTGCCATAACCTACCTTGCGGCGACCTTGCGATTCCTTTGCGCCAGACTTGCGCACTTGCGCCTACTCCTGAGCCCAAATTTTCGCAATTCTGTGGATAGAAGCAGCACGAAAGAATGAAAGGACAATGTGGGAATGTGCGCGTGTGCGCGTGTTGCAACTGGTATGCAGCACAAGCCAACAACACCACAAGATAGCAAGATCGCAGCAGCACCAACTCTTTGGACAAAAACAAACACTTGCGCTCGCCCTTGCGCCTTCTTGCGCGCCCCACGCGAGAACCATGCACATAACAGGTACAAAACTCGAGAAGTAACGTCCATACTAATTTTCTTTAACGGGGTTTTGAACGACTCCCATGTGGGTATGCATGTGTATGCGTCTAATGTATGTATGTGTGCACGCATGTACGTATGTGCTTTCTCGTCTTCAGGTGTCGCCTCACATGCCTCAACAAATTGTATGTGTGCGTACGTAAGTGCATATGTACGTGCGCACGTCGGTGTGTATGTCTGTATGTGTATGTGTGTGTATGCATGTATATAATTGTGCATGTACGTATGCATGTGTGCATGCATGTGTGTACCATTATGTACCTACGGAGAGCGACGGCTGGGGGTGGGTTTTTGCAGTGTTGTTGCGTGTTTTTGCGTGCTTTGCAACATGGCATCGCCATCAAATTGCTTCTTCCTGCATTTTTGTTGACAACAAAGAGCAAACGTCAACAAATCCAATGGATAGAGGAGAAGCAATGAACTGTTTTGACAGGCATCAGCTGCAGGGTCAAAAGCATTGAAAACAGTGAAATCTCACCGATGATTGAATTTTAGGAATCCAGAGCTAGTATAGAGTAGCTGGGCTGCTGCTGCTCTCCCAGCCAGAGTCAGCTGTAATTATCTTAGCATCTTTCTTTTCATGCCTGAAACACTGTGTGGCATCAAAACCGAGTTAGAATTCAAATGCAATCCTGTATGGAAAGACAAGCTGGTTTCTTCTACTTTGCCTGCCCCTTAAATGGAGAGACAAACGAATAGAACTCAAAACAAGAAATCACTTTCAGTTCCATTGGTTTACAAGTTTTACATTGCAACGCTTTACGATTGAATCATATCTATCTTAATTAGTGTTCAAGTCAAATGCTATTTTGAATTTAAATAGGTGTTCCTTTCCAAGTAAGATGTTCATCGAGTTTTCAATAGGATCTAATCAGGAAAGAGAAGCTTGCTGTTTCTTCTGATTTGCAAGCCCCTGGCAAGGAGTGATAAAAAGGGGGAAACCATGGACAATGAACATGTCATTGTAATTTGTTTGCAAGGTTTCCATTGCGAAGCTTGACATTTAAACTGGATGTTGGTTGGACATCAACATATTTTGGAATTAGATATCAATTGGCACTTCCTTTCCGAGCGGGGTTGCAATGAGAAGTTAAGTAGAACTTTGAATTTATTAGAATTGTTGTTTTTGAAGGACATGTTACACAGAAACTGCTTCCCATTCTAAATCGGACTTCCTTTCCAAGTGGGATTTTGATTGGAATTTAATTATAACTTAATTAGAACTTCATGGTATTCTATATAACTAGAACCCAGCAAGGAAAGACAAGCTGGTTGTTTCTTGGAAAGACAAGCTGGTTGTTTCTTGTAAGACAACTCAAGTATAGCTATGATTTCGAATCAGAATTCAAAAGGATTACCTTTGCAATGGATTTATCTAGACATTTGTTATAATCTAGATAAAACCTGGTAAGGAAAGACAAGATGGCTGTTCCTTCTGAATAATTTGAACAGAATTCGGCTGCGGTTAGCAGTGTGAAATGCCCAGGCTGCGGTGGCAAAGCGAACTGTTTCTTCTTGTTGACCGCAACCTCAAAAAAGGCAAACAACCGAGAGAACCAAACAACAAACAAGCAAGCAAACAAAAAGAATACCCCTGACCTGGCAGATATTTTAAGTCCACAGTGTGCAAAAACCACCCCTCATGAGGCGCCCTTCTGTATCTAAACCTATGTGTGTGTTGTTGCATGTATGTGTGTGTGTATGTGCGTGTTGACCAAAACATGTCACAGCTCGTCTGTCCTGAAACAACAAGTGCTCTCTGAAGCGGCAAAAGCGCAGCTCAGGCTCGAAAGCCGTAAAGTGCCAGCACGAGATACGAAAGCAGCTCATGAAATGTTTTTGGCAGCTCCGCGTGTCGCAAAAGTACCGCACCTCCCGCTGGAAAGTTGCCTCTGTTTGCTGGAAGTGAAGTGTTTTTTATTTCTCCCTATTTTTGGGCTTTTTGGTGGTAGATGCCTAAATGCAGGTACAAAATGACACATCGCGTGCTACATCGGTACTGACAAGTTGCGACTGTCGAGTCTGAGCCAGAGCTGCCAAAGTGCATTTTGTGCGCTAACTTGGTACTGAACAGTTGCAACCACAAAGGGATGGTTCTACAGCAAGCATACCCTCCGCTCGCATGGTTCTGACTTGGAGGACATGAATTATACAAATATTCGGGAACTTTCGCAACCGCAACGGCTATCTTTCGCGGAGGTACTTCAACCAACACCATCGGTCACTGGATAGTAAACTCCTTACAAGGTTTATATAAACGCCGCCTACATAACATCGAGCCGGCGAAGACGGTGGTCGGAAGTTTTTACGCTGGTACGAATATATAGAGCAAGGCTGCTTTGGTTTTGCATGCCCGGTGTCCGGCCTCGCGCCTTGCTTTTCCATTTTTGCTTGGTTGCTTCCTGCTGTTTGGTGGGCCGTCGCTGCCGCAGAAACACGTGTAGGCAAGTGCACTTGGGGTCGGCCGCCAGATGGCAAGCCGACGGCGCGCAAGCGCAAACTAGTCTGACGACGGCTCACCGCGGGCACGAGAAACATCTCGATGCAGCTTCCGCGTCAGCCGTCTCGCGCGCAGTAAAATTTCGGCGTGGGCCGCCCAAGTAGGAAGCAAACAGTTGGCCCTCGCTTTCCAGTGCGTCCCGCCAGCCGTCTTGGTACAAACGAGGCAAAAAAAAACGAGGCAGCGGCTGAATCTGTAAGTTCTGGCAAGACCAAAGTAAACTAGAGTAAGCTTTGGCCAAACGTAAATCATCTGACGGCAAACCTATCTGAACTGTTTGGGGTCCCTTGGATGGCCGGCTGTGAATGGCTGTGACGCCAAGCCGCAGTTTCTCTTTCTCTTTCTTTTCTCTTGTCCTTCTCTTTCTTCGTCTCTCTTTCTCTCTCTCTCTCTCTCTCTCTCTCTTTCTCTTTCGTTTCTCTTTTCTTTCTCTTTTCCTTCTCTTTCTCATTCTCTTTCTCTTTTTCCTTTTCTCTTTTTTTACTCTTTCTCTTTGTGCTTATCTTAGCTTTTCTTTTTCTCATTGTCTTTCTCTTTATCTTTGTACTTATCTTAGCCTTTCTCCTTTTCTCCTTCTCTTCATCTGTTCTTTGTCTTTCTCCTTCTCTTTCTATTTTTCTTTCCCTTTCTCCTTCTTTTTTCTTTCTCTTTCTCAATCTTTTCTCTTTTCTTGCCCTTTCTCTTTCTCTTTTCTTCTCTCTTTCCCCTTCTTGTCACTTTCCTCTCTTCTTCTCTTTCTCTTTCTCCCTCGCTTTCTCTTTCGCTTTCTCTACCTCTGCCACGAATTCTGCCACGGAATCTGAATCTGCACCTCACCTTTGCACCTGACCTCGCCAAAGTGCCGCGCCTGCCACGACATCTGCGCTCGACCATGCGAAAATGCTGCGCCTGCCATGGAATCGCTGCGCCTGCCACGCACTCCAATCTTGTGAAACCGTCGCGTTGCAATTGCAGTTGGCCGGGCGCCGAACCCGCTCTGCACCCGCTCCGCACCCGCGCCGCACTCGCGCCAAACAGGCGTCGAGACGCAGGTGGTTGACATCGACGTGGGCC